CCTGACGCAGGCGCTGAAGGACGGCAAGAGCCCCCTGTACCTGGTCCAGATGCCGCCGGTGATCGTGGAGACGGCCCGCTCCCACCAGCGCAGCGCCAGCGAGTCCTACACACAGAGCTTCCAGAGCCGCAAGCCCTTCTTCTCCTGGTGGTAGCCAGGCCGCCCGCCCCCCCCGCTGCCATGGGGGGACCTGCCACTGAACTGATGGCGCCGGAGCCGCCTTGGGCGGGCCCGGCAGAGCCCCTCTGTGCTGCCGCGGGCTGGGCGGAGCTGGGGCCCGCCTGCTGCATGTGGGTCTGAGCCCCTTGCTGCCTGCAGGGGCTGGCTGGCGGCAGGCCGTTCACGCAGCCAGGGTGAGCAGGGAGGGTCCTGGCTGGGCTGCTCCCCTGCCCCCGCTTGCACCCTGCTCCTAGGGGGGCCGGCCCTCCTGCCCACTGGCGCCCTGCAGGTTGGAGTTGCTAGTGGAGTCGCTGGAGAGGAGGCGGGGCAGGGCCAAGCCTGGGCGCCCCAACAGCTGTGCTATGGGTGGCTTGCAGCTGCCCTCCCTGTGAGGGGAGTGCAGGTCCCATGGAGCTCTGGGCGCCTTGGCGCAGGAGTGATGCAGGCCTGGCCCCTCCCGCTGGGCACAGGGGGTCTGTCCTGGGTTTGGGGCAATGCATTGTGTCCCTTGTGTGCTCTGGTGTGAGGGGGCAGGCCTTCCCTCCAGGGCACCAGCCGCCCTTCTCAGGGGAGCCATGCCAGGGCCTGGCCCAGCTGCCAGGGGTGAGGGCCAGTCTGGCTGGTGAGGGTGGGGGGCAGGGCTCTGCTGCTGCTTGTGGGGAAGGTGCCATCCGGCCGTGCACACGTGAAGCAGGCGCCTGGATGGCAGCAGAGTGTGAGGGTCCCCAGTGCGGCTGGGGGCCTTGCTGGCTGAGGGGCGCCCAAGGGTCTGTCAGCAGCCAGCTCCCTGCTTGTGCTGCTGCTCCCGTCCCACCCTCAGTGCAGATGAGCCAAAGGCCTGGCCTGCCCCGGCATGGTACTACAGATGCTGCCTGCCCCCTGCCCGGGGCAGAGCTGAGAACTTCCCGGAGGCTGTGGCCTGGCTCAGCCCCTCAGGGTGGGGCGGGGGGCTGTGCATGTCCCCGGGCTCTCTCCTGCACGATGCTGTAGGCTTGGGCTGCTAGCGCGGGGGAGGGGAGGCCACGGGGGAGGGGAGCCCTCTGCTGACCTGAAATGTATTGTTCTTATGCACTGTCGAAATGTACCTAATGTATTTAAACCAATGCGCCGTGTCGGCCCTGCCATCCTGCCGGGGCCCGGGGCCCGCACCCGCAGCCTGCACCCGCAGCACTCCTGAGCTCCTGTTAGTAAACAGGCCCCTCTCCCCGCATCTGCCCTCTGCACTGCGCTGCAGAGATGGGCCCTGGGGTGGGGGGGTGCTGTGCTGCTGAGGGCTGTGTCGCTGAACCCTGAATCCCACAGGGCAGCGCCAGGCCAGAGCGGT